ACTGAAGTTACAGGTGTGCACTACAGCTAGGTACTGAAGCTACAGGTGTGCACTACACCCAGCACTAAGTTACAGGTGTGCACTACAGCTAGGTACTGAAGTTACAGGTGTGCACTACAGCTAGGTACTGAAGTTACAGGTGTGCACTATACCCAGCACTGAAGTTACAGGTGTGCACTACAGCTAGGTACTGAAGTTACAGGTGTGCACTATACCCAGCACTGAAGTTACAGGTGTGCACTACAGCTAGGTACTGAAGCTACAGGTGTGCACTACAGCTAGGTACTGAAGTTACAGGTGTGCACTATACCCAGCACTGAAGTTACAGGTGTGCACTACAGCTAGGTACTGAAGCTACAGGTGTGCACTACACCCAGCACTAAGTTACAGGTGTGCACTACAGCTAGGTACTGAAGTTACAGGTGTGCACTACAGCTAGGTACTGAAGTTACAGGTGTGCACTATACCCAGCACTGAAGTTACAGGTGTGCACTACAGCTAGGTACTGAAATTACAGGTGTGCACTACAGCTAGGTACTGAAGTTACAGGTGTGCACTATACCCAGCACTGAAGTTACAGGTGTGCACTACAGCTAGGTACTGAAGCTACAGGTGTGCACTACACCCAGCACTGAAGTTACAGGTGTGCACTACAGCTAGGTACTGAAGTTACAGGTGTGCACTACAGCTAGGTACTGAAGTTACAGGTGTGCACTACAGCTAGGTACTGAAGCTACAGGTGTGCACTACACCCAGGTACTGAAGCTACAGGTGTGCACTACACCCAGGTACTGAAGCTACAGGTGTGCACTACACCTAGGTACTGAAGTTACAGGTGTGCACTACACCTAGCACAGTTGTCCTAAATGTAAGTTCCGATCTCTACCTCAAGTCCAGACCCAAAAGGTGACATTTACTCTCATGATCCAGCCAAGACACCAGAAATGAGTGTCACAAGAAAACCAATTTTCATTTATTTCTCACATTTCCATCAGCAGCTTACAAGCTTCTTAATAGCCTTATTTACAGCATGCTGTTCTAAATATTCTTTCCCCGCCAATCAAGCGCACTCTGCCTGGGCACAAGGTAACGGACAACTGCAGACACTCAACCTGAAGGCGTGAGCCAGCCTTCTTAAGGATGGAAGCAGGGGCTGGGCAGGCGAGGGCCTTGGGAATCCTTTGCTGGAATAAGTCCTGCAGGTGTCACTTGTATCAAGTCCCCTGCAGAAGGTTCCTTGGTCTCTTTAAGCCTCTTGCTTTCATCTGCCAAGTCGAAGGGTCAAAGAACACGTCTGCATTTAAATGTCCTCAAACACTGGTCAGAAGGAGCTGCCCCTCTAAAGCTGCCTGCACCTGTTCTGACATCAAATGGCCTAGGCCTAGGACATGGCTGGCTCTTAAGAGTCTAAGCTTACTTAGCTCCAGGTCACAAGAAATTCATGGAGAGTAAGGTCTGTTGTGTGCACTGTGGAGCCAACCACCACTCCTCATTCTGCCTGCTTGCTAACCTCCTCCCGTGCCCCCTGGCACTGGCTGAGTAAAGACACATACATAGCATTCATCCACATGGGTGTGTACTTTTCTCAGATTAGAAACACAGAATTTTCCTATCATCCAGGTCTCCAAACACAGGGAAGGAAGGGAAGACACCAAAGAAGGGATCTACTGAATAGAAGGTGCAGTAGACACATCCTCCTCTGCTCTCTCTGCTCTGTAAAGCAAAGCTGTAGCTGCTACAGGTCACATAGGACAGCTCCAGGAGGGAGAAGCGGGAGGCTAACCAGAGGGGGCCTTGGGTTATTTTCAGGCTTTCCTTTGGCGTCCCTTGTCCCAGATGTGAAGCCAGAGAAGTCACAGCTGCAAATACCAGCAGAGCAAACCCAGAAGCACTTAAGGAAACCTATATGTACCCTACAAAATGCACATTAAAGCAAGTCAGGAAACTACCCGTCATATTCACCTGGCTGGTGGAAGACACCCTATCCATCTAGGTGGAGTCCAATATGTGAGACTCTAGATAATTATTAACTCAAATGGCTCACAAACCTCAGTCTAGGCCATGGAAACCTAGGCACCTAGGAAGATCTGGATGAGAAAGCCTTCAGAATCCATGGGTCCTTGGGATTGTCAGACTTAAACCAAGGACAGTCCCCAAGAGGAACAGTGTTTGGGTAAGAAGCAGTAATCAGGCTATGAGAAGACAAAGTGGAAGAAGCTGAGCTGAAGGACCGCACACGTCAGGTCTCAATTCTGTGACATTCAGAAAAGACAAAGCTGAGCAAATAGTGACAAGGTAAGAAGACAGGTGGTTACCAGAGGAGCAAGAAGAGAATAGAGAAAATTGGCTGAACACTGCGTCTTTAGGGCAGTGGAGGCCCCTACAGGGCACGGAGCCCCATCACTTTGCATCTTATCTGGACCACAGGATCCAAGGCGAGCCTCGTGTACTGTGGACTTTGGGGACACAATGCAATGTGCATGGCTAACAACATGAGGCTGTCAAGGACGCTGCTCAGGGGACGGGAGGTATCGCTTAGTTCAGGTTCCTGCTATTCTAGAGAGCATTTCAGGACCTGCTAGGAAGTGCTCTACGATTACAGGAGAGTTGCGTCCTCGTGACTTTTATTTTCAACAGTGTTTCACTAAGTTATCCATTCCGACCTTGAACACACACTATAGTCAAGAAAGCCTTAAATTGCAATCCTCCTGCCTCAGCATCCTGATTAGCTGAAATTATAGGCTTATGCTGTTTAAAGTCTATTTGTTTTTCATGAAAACCTTTGAGGTGAGAAAATATGGGGTAGTAGGATGGAAGAAAAATAACAAAAACAAAAAGAATTGTTTCAAAAATGCCATAATGAAATCTATAATTTGTATGCTAATTAAAAATGAGCTGGGTGGGTAGGGAGGTGGAGAAGGATCTGGAAGGAATGGGGAGGGAGTGAATATGATCAAAACATGTAAAATCCTCAATGACTAATTAAAACATAAAAAAGAAAGCAAGAAGAAAAACAGCAAAACCTATGTGCAAGCCCATACAAAAAGATGAAAAATAGGTGATGTGGCAGGAGAAATACTTGCAAACCACATCTAGTTCTGGGGAAAGAGACCTAAAAGTCATAGGAAACATTCCTCTGAATGCTGACTTAGAACTTTAGGCAACACTGTGTCTCTTCATAGGAGGGACTGTGTGTGAGAGCCTAAGGAACTCCTGTGTGGACACTAGGCAGGAGTATCACAAGGGTCTGTGCTTTGCCCCCTTGACAGAAGTACTGATGTCCACAGAGGGCAGGCAACAGGGTGTGGAGATGAGTGAGCGGATGGAAACAGGGAGGCCACCCAAGCCTTCGTTGCTGTCCACACACCCCATAGACCCGCCCACTCCAGCCCTCCCCCAGGGCTCAGCTAATGATTATAAATGGCAAAGGATCTCCAATTTAATTGCAGAAGGTAATGATGCAGGGAGCATAAGATTAGATTCACCACAGAAGGCAATATCCTCAAACAATGGAAAAGGAGAAGCCTGTATGAGGAGGCTGCAATCGATGGGAAGGTTTCTGTATTAAATACCACGGCTCTGGGTCACAAAGGGATATTGACAGAACTGCTGACAGCAGATAAAAAAGGGGGAGAGAAAACTAAATTGGTCTCTGCAGAAAATAAGTTACAGATTAATCATCCCACCATGAAACACTTTAGCGAGGACTTGGGGTGTGAAGATGTGTTCACCATCTGACCACAGCACAGGACAGCCAAGGGCAAGCAGGACCTCCTGAGCTAAGATGTGTCCCCTGGGCCTCTGCTGGACACAGTCCCAGCTCAGGGACACCAAGAGTGCCAGGAAGGCTGTACTAGCTCTTCCCCAGGGGTATCCCAAGCCTGCCTTATGTGCAGGAGAGGAGTATTTCCCTTCTCTTTCTGAAAGCTTTGACAGCTAAGATACAGCTGAAGGAGGAGCTGGATGGCTGGCCAACTATAACCCGGTTCTACCCCAGATCTGCTAAGGTGGAGGTCACGAGTGTGTTCCCAGCCTGGACCTGTCAACAGGCGAGCCAAGGCACTACATCCCCTGCCTCAACTTTTACTTTAAAAAGTTCTGTGGATCTGGTATTATCATATAGAATATGGTGATTTTTTAAAATTGTCTTTTAAAATGACTTTTTCCCTTAAATACCATCAGTGCTCTAGGAAAACAGGCCAACCCAAACTTTACTTGGTAGTATGGCCAGAGTTTTTAAGCTTTAAAAAGTCAGTTAATATTTTAAGAAGTCTAGCATCTATACCTCATATTAATAACCATGCATCATCACTCATGTTTTCTCTTTAACCTAGGGGCATTATTAATATTGTAAAGCACCATGAGGGAAGGAGCTCAGCAAGCATTATGGGAACAAATAAACATAAGACCTCGGCTACTGTGAAGGTGACGATGTGGCCCTGGGGACATGGCACTATACGGTTTCTTCTTCCTATAACTGATACTCTGACAACAAGCACAGTGAAATTATGAATGCCTGTAAACACACATTTTACAAAAGAAAGATTTAAGGAATAAAACATGAAAAATACACACAATACTTAGCTTACAAAAGGCAAAATACTCAAAATGAGTATCCAAAAACAAACTGACTCCCAAGAAAGTACTCAAATTCATTTTTAAAATTCATGTAAATGCAGGGGAAGCTAGCCAGCAATGTGGAATCAAGCCTGCATAAGTGTTCCCTTCTCAAGTGTGGCTTTAAAAAAGCCTTGTGAAAAGAACACACTTGGACCTGAAGCCATCCTCAGTGAGGCTCAGTCCACTTCACAGTGCTTTCCACTTGAACCCACAAGGCCTAGCATTCAGTTCTCTGCTCTACACCTCCATCCCTGCATCATTCCTATGAGATAATTAATTTCAAAATTCCAGATGTGTGGATGAGGAAGTGTATTCTGAATTCAACCCAAAAGGTCCAATTCCAAAGACCACCCAGTGAGACCTTTGTCCTTCTTACTCACCACAGCCTGGCTTGAGCTCGCCTGGAGGTCCCACAGCAGGATGTGGCTGTCAGCCAGAGAAATGACCTTCTTCCCATCCCCCATGGGCTCCCACACGACGCTAAAGAAAGACAAATGCCAAATATTAATGTGACCAATGGGGACCCCCGAGCCTGTAGCTACAGCTTTTACACAGACCTTTCATACTTCAGCAAGCTCGTTCCTAGCCCAAAGCCTCTAGTGTTTCTTAACACTGGCTTCTAATGACACATGTCAGAGCCACTACCATTGTCTCAGTGTCCCCAGAGTCACATGTCAAAGCTGTGACCACCAGCATGATGGACACATTGGGTGGGAGAAGATAATGAAGGTAGGCTCTCTGGATGGGACCTGAGTGCTTGAAGAGGAGAGAGCAGAGTTTGCAGCCCTGTCTCTCTGCCATGTGAGGACGGCAAGAAGGCAGCCGTATAAGCCTGGAAAACAAATCTCATCAAGAACTAAACCAGCCAGTACCGGGGTGTCAGTCTTCTAAGTCACAAGTCACAAGAGCACCCCAGGCTGACACAGGTGCTCATACGACACAGCTTACCACTCGCTAAGGAGCACACAGCTGGCACACAGGAGTAGGCAGCTTAGGCAGCTGCAGAAGGCACCGGGAGAAAGGACTTCACACTTGATGTATTGTCTTTGGTGCAGAGGTGAGGACAGAGCTGAGAGCTGCACCCATACTCCAGGCTCTCGACAGGCCACCTGTGACAGGAGCTACTTTCCCATCTGAGCCAATCACAGCCGCTTCCCACTGTTGCAGCCCAACTACTCTAACCATGAATCTGAAGGGTTAACAAAAAGCAAATGTCTTAGAGAGCTGGGATGGATATTATCAAGGTACATGGTGAATGAGGGCTCCCTTTTCCCAACATCCTCTCCAGTATCTGTTGTACGTTGTTTCGTTGATATCTGCCATTCTGTCTAGAGTAAGAATCTCAAAGTTGTTTTGATTTGCAGTACCCTAACTACTGGTGACAATGAACTTACTTTTTTTGTTTTTAGATGTTTCTTAGACATTTTTACTTCTTTTGAGAACCTTCTGTTCAGATCTGTAGCATATTTTTTTATTGCAAAAAAAAAAGGAGAGAGAGAGAGAGAGACAGACAGACTTGAATGTGAAATCTGAAACACTCAAAAGGCTAGAAGAAAACATAGGCTACAGACACAGGTACAGGAAAGAACTTTCTGAATAGAATTCCATTTGCCTGGGAATTGAGGCCAATAACTAACAAGTGGAACTTCATAAAACCCCAAAGCGTCTACAAAACAATCAGTAGAGAAGATGTTGAAGACGGAGCCCACAGGATGGGAGAAACTCTTAGCCAGTTGTATATCTGACAGAGGATGAATATCCATAACATATGAAGGACTCAAAAGACAAAGTGTCAAAAAAATAAATAAAAAAAAAGAAAACAAAACGAGATAAAAACAAGGGGAGAAATGCTAAGAAATATCAAAAAAAAAAAGGAAGAAAGAAAAGCTCATCATCCCTAGCAACTGCAAATTAAAGGGCCTTAGAGACTCCATATGACCCCATCAGAACAGAAAGAGCAACAACAAATGCTGGAGAGGACGTGGAGAAAGGGGAACCTTATCCACTGTAAGTGTGATTACAGGCTGGTCCAGCCACTCTGGAAATCAGTGTGGAGAGCCCTCAAAAGGCTAAAAATAATCTGCCACGTGACCTGGCTGTACCAGTCCCCAGCACATGGCCAAAGGACTCAGCAACCTACTCTACAGTAATTCCTCAGCCATGCCCTTCGCCGTCTATTCACGACAGCCACAAAGGGGAAACAACCAGGATGTCTTTCACCTGACGAACAGATAATGAAAATGTGGTACTATACAAATTAAAGAAAAATGGAAGCATAAACTTTGCAAGTAAATGGGTGGAACAAGAGAAGATCATATTGGGTGAGAAAGTCCAGGCAACAAAGGGAACTCTAGTTCTGTGTCCTTGTCCAGGAATGGCTTTGGTAAGGCCTATCTGACATTAGAGCCAGTGCCTCACAGAAGTCAAGGTTGTGGTTTCTGGCGACCCAACTCTAATATGGGATTCCTCTCTGTATGCTGTGAATATGTTTTATTAGCATTGGTTAATAAAGAAGCTACTTTGGCCTATGGTGGGGTAGAATAGAGCTAGGCAGAAAAACTAAATTGAATGTAGGGAGAAAGAAGGCCGAGTCAGAGAGAGAAACCACGTAGTTGCCTAAGGAGAAAGACTACCAGTAGCCTTGTGGTGATACATAGATTAATAGAAATGGGTTAATTTAAGATGTAAGAGCTAGTTAATAAGAAGCCTGAGCTAATAGGCTAAACCGTGTTGCAATTAAAATAGTTTCTGTGTGATTATTTGGGTCTGGGCAGCCAGGAAACCAATGTGCTGTCAAGGCCTACACTACTCTTCCCCCCTGGGCTGTGGTTATCAATCCTATGGCAGTGTTGAAGATACTCCATGTTCTTTTTTTTTTTTTTTTTTTTAATTTTTTGAGACAGGGTTTCTCTGTGTAGCTTTGGAGACTGTTGTCCTGGAACTCACTTTGTAGACCAGGCTGACCTCAAACTCACAGGGATTCACCTGCCTCTGCCTACTGAGTGCTGGGATTAAAGGCACCACTGCCTAGCCAATACCTCATGTTCTCTTTGTCAACATTGTCTTACTTGGTTCTCAGCTGATCCTGGCCATTTCATGCCCCTTCCCATTTTGTTCGTTTGGTTTTTCTGTTTGTTTGGGGAGAGGCTGGGATATTTGTTGTTTTGTTTTGTTTTTGTTTTTGTTTTTTGAGACAGGGTTTTTCTGTGATAGCCCTGACTGTCCTGTAATACCCTCTGTAGACCAGGCTGGCCTCAGACTCACAGAGATCCATCTGCCTCAGCCTCCTGGGTGTCAGGATTAAAGGCGTGCACTACCACTGTCCAACTTGCTGCTGTACTTCTTTTTTTTAATCTTTTAAATTTTAATTATGTGTATGTGAAGATATGTGCACATGAATGCATGTGCCCACAGATCCGCCTGGAGCTGGGATGACAGGCAGCTGTAAGTCACCTGATGTAGGTGCTGGGAATTGAACTCAATTCCTCAGGAAGAGCAAGCAGTATGTGCCCTTAACCACTGAGCCATCCCTCCAGACCGCTGCTTATTTCGTCTTAATAAACTTACATCAGCTTGCAAGTTTTCAAGGGAAAACAACCAATAGTCCACCCAGATACAACACCTATGAACTACAGCAACAACCATCATGACACAGTAGCTGTCGGGGTAGTAGAGGGATGCATGCTTTGAGGATAACCCAACAGCTCTCTGGTTGGACTTAAGGCCACTCAGCAAGAAGAAAATCACGCCTGGTACAGGAAACCCAGGGCTAGTGAAGTCATGATCTCAGAGGAGAACCTATGACAACCATGTCACTAAACCATAAACGACATTCCAAATATCTGTCCTCACACCCACAGGTGAAGTATTGGTCCTACCCTTCTCATCAAAAAGGCTCCTTACAGCAGATGAAGATCATTACAGAAAAACCACAGTGGATGAAAATACAGAAAATAAGTCACCATGAGAGGCCCAGAGATAACTGACAGATCTATCACACAATTCCTGAACCTAAGGCTCAGGGAACACCACGGAAAAGGAGCAGAAAGATTCTAAGAGCCAGAGGAACAGAAAGTTTGCTGTCAGATTTCGTCTCCTAGATACACCTGTGAAGCTACACCCACGATGCCTCAGCAGTGGGTGAGCCTTGATGTTTATAGGCTGGCTTCTCTTCCATTGGAGTTGTTTCCTATCTATGGAGACACAAGCAGGAAGCTTCTTTCTTTTGCCATGTCTTTTCTGCCACAGCAAACTGCATCCCCTCAGACCGTGAGCCCAAACGCAGCCTTCCTCCCTTCAGTTGCTTCTGTCAGACGTGGTCACAGCAGTGAGTAGTCGCCCGCCCAAAGAACCAGCTGAGGCATATCTCAGGCCATCCTAACTCCATACTCACAGGATCTGGTAAGCAAGACATCAATCCAGCTAACACAAGCCTGCAGCGGCACCTTTCCCCTGACCAGCACAAGACACACACTGCTCCACCCTGCCCGCTCATCTGTAGATCTGTCTGTCTCTAAGGAAAAACTCACATTTCCCAGTATTTTGAACAGGGGAATGGATAAAATTATTTTCAAGTTGCTGCAGAAGTAACCTTTATATCCAAAACGGAGAAATATATTCTAATTTGAAAAGAAGCCTCACGAGCTTAAGGCTCACAGCGGGCAGCATTCATTTACTTTAGAAAATAGCCTGGTTTTGAGTTGTTACAGCTGAGCACTTACAAAAGCTTCCTGTCCCAGACACATGTTACTTATGTTCTGAAGGTTACAACGAATCAACGAATATAAAACCTAAAGGCAGTGGCTATATAGCCTAGAAGGAGCAGGCAGGCCAGACACAGTGTTCACCAAACCCAGAGAGGCTCATCCTTGTTCTAGGACCCCAGGAGCTGGACAGGTACATGAGGGCATCACAGGCTGGCCCTTCATCTCACTAAATGTTCACTAGAGAAGCACACAGACAATGCTAGGTGGCATCTAGAAAGTCATGAGACTGCCTGCTTGTAGACAGGAAGTTCCCTGAAATAGAGCTCTGTGCCTCTAGTGTCCTTCAGGTGACAGTCAGCAAGACAAAATGGAAAGGGTCAAGAGGGGGAAATTCCTTGGCGCCAATCAGAAGCACGCCAGCATCTTACATGCCCTTCCGACATGAGGTAGGAGCATTATCGCTCTTCATTGGCCCAGAACTGACCCTGGGAAGGGCAAGTCAGGTACAGGGGACCATAGTCCACACATGGGAGGGGGTGCCTCCTCTCATTGCCTCTCCTGCAGAGAGCAGTGAGCTGCCCTCACAGGACACACAGGACCAACCCTTGCCTTTCTGAGTAGCAGGTGCACCCCCCCACACACACATACACACACAGAGACACTGTTCAAAGCTGAATGTCTGCATTCCTGGTCAAATGCCAATTCCCACAGCCTGGAAAAGCACTACACAGGCGATATGTCCAGTATACCTATGATGCACAGAGGAGAAATGAG